CTTTGGGAGAGAATATTGCGGACAACGGAGGCCTCAGAGAGTCGTTCCGCGCGTTTCAGACGTACGTCAAGACATACGGAGAACCACAACGACTGCCATATGTCTCGCAATACACACCACAACAGCTCTATTTCCTCTCATACGCGTCCGTACGTTATGAACAGACCTTTTGCTCAGAAATAATTATTATACAGTATTTTGAATTTTTGCAAATAGATTAAATGCGATCTAATACGAAATTACGCATTACGCGTCCGAGTATACAGTGGATCTCACAGTCCCTACAAATACCGGGTTAACATTCCCTTATTCAACTTTCAGCCCTTTTCCGATGCTTTCAAATGTAAGCCTAATTCTACAATTAATAGGAAAGACAAATGCATTTTGTGGTAATATATATAACTTATTTTTTATTTTTAAAAATGAAATAATTTGTATTATAATTTTTTATAATTAAAACAAAAATAGTAAATATAATACTTTATTATTAATACATTAACATTTAAATTGTTTTAAAAATATTAAAGGAATTAAGATTTCCTTTTAATAGATGATTGTAATTATAATTCATAAATAAGCAAATGGTGATAAAAATAAAAATATAATTTGAGATATTTTTTTCAATAACTTATTATTCTGTAATTAAAAATATAATATTTATAAAATAAAAGTTAAACAAAAAATACTATTTAAATAAAAAGAATTTTTACTTTTTAATAATTTCTTTGTAAAATAGTAAGGCTAATAATTTGATTATGTAGCTTTTCTGAAGCTTATTATTATGTACTGTATGCATAATAAAGATTGTGAATAAAAGTTAAAGCAATTTGAATAAAATTACTAGAACTTGAAAAAAATCTGAAATCCTGAAAATTGCAAAATAATTTTTAGTCTTTAAATACTATTAAAAGAATTTAAATAAAATAAACATTCTTAACATTTAATATTTATTCAATAACTAAATACTTAACCCACGATACTTAATTATACAAGAATATTGTTTATTATTATTAACCGATAAAATGTTTACAGAATAATTGTACGTAAGATAAACATTAATGAGTTGATATAATCGTGATATTGTAAATACCACAATGTATAACACTAAGGTGTCTATAAATACAATATTATATAGCTAATGTATATCAGTAAGCCGAGACTGAGCTATACTGACCAAATAGTTTTTACCAAAACTTGGTTTACAAAATTCTATGACAACTATTATATAAGTAAAAACTATATATTCATAACAAGAATATGATTTTAAAAATAATTAGCAATGTATTTGCACTAAAAAATTTGGCATAGAATTCTGTAAATCAAGTTTGGTGAAATCAAGTTTTGGTAAAAACTATTTGGTCAGTATAGTTCACTGCCTATTCCTTGACTTAGTGCAGCTCTCAGGCATACTGTATTAAATATACAGAATTTTGTGTTTCAATTCTGTATCGCATAAGTTAATATATTGAGTTAATGAATATTTTATAAACAGTGTCAAATTTACAAAATCTAGAATAATAACTTCGAACAAATAAAATATGAAAAAATTATCAGTTTCATTTTATGTAAAAACTATCAATGGATAAACAGATGATAATGGATATCCCTTTGGATTTCCATTCACATACAAAGTACATTAAATTTGTTTTTAAAATATGCATTGCAATCATCATTAAACGATTGAGTTTTTAATACTAAAGAATCTATTTTATTACATATTCCGTATGCAATGATATGCTTAATATAAACAAAAATTGTTTACTGTATAGCGTATAAGTATAAATTCAAAGCAGACTTTATAAGTAAAGTATTTGCAAAAAATAGTAGTTATTGTTAAGATTATTTTAAAATGACACATCGTAACTATTTTAGGGTTACTTTGCTATCAATTAGTTTAATTGTATTCATAATAATTGTGATTATTCTGTACGCTCGACACAAATCTACTATTCAAACTACACCTGGCACCAATTATGATACAACATTACCAACACCATCACCAACAACCGCAACCCCTACCGTCCCACTCATATGCCAATCGCCTGTCTGTGAATCCGCGGGAATGGCATTGAATGCCAATCTCAACGAATCGGTCGACCCGTGCCATGACTTCTATGCGTTCGCGTGCGGGGGTTGGGAGGCGTCCCATACATTGCCAGACGATAAGATGTGGTACAACAACTTTAATATACTCGATGACAATGTTTCCCACGCTATGAGGATATCGTTGAGTAAAAACTGGTCGACAAGTGATTCAAATGCTGTGACCTATGCCTCCGATCTCTATAAGGCGTGTATTGATGAAGGTTTCGGACATTCATTTCATTTGTTTTGTAATTATTCGTAACTTAATAAAGTTTTATATGAGTAGAAACACGTAATGCCAGGGGTGTGACCCCTCTCATTGAGATGCTGAACACAGTGGGCGGGTGGCCTATATTGGGACAGTCGGGTGGCTATAATGAGACAGAATTTGATTGGAAGGACGCGTTTGTGAAACACGTGATTATATCTAAATCCTCGCCGGTATTCGCGCTGTCAGTTTCCG